TGATTTTAAAGTCTCACGGTGGAAAGCCAAATTGAAGAAGGGCTTTGGGAAAGTTTTCTAGGAGCCAGAGGCTGGAAGTGGGAGCTGGGCACCACCTAACGTTCTGTCAGCCTTAGCTTGGGGATGCAGGCTGCCCCGTTCCTCCTGTCCTCGCAGAGGGATCTGTGGACAGCAAACATCTCTGGAAGAACACTGAGCCACCTGCCACCTAGACGCGTGTGAATTGCGTAGGAAACGCGTTTCACCTGCACAGGACCCGGATGTTCAGGCGCGGTCATGGCGGCCCCCACGAGGATTCCAAGATCGCTGAGCCAAGGAGAGAGGCCTCGCTTCCCACTGAGCCTCCCCCTCCTGTCACTGTCACTCCGGAAGTCAAAGCGAGCCGAGTACCTAGGTAAGGCGATGATTTCCCTGTGGACCAGACGTGTTGGGGTGGTGCCCAAACTCGCACGCTGGGCCCCCTTGCTCAGGACCCTTGCCATCGTCAGATGCCCCTGCCGGGTCGCGGTGGCCCGTGGAGGGTGTTTCAGGGGACATATTTTCCCCTCGTTCTTCCTGGGGCGGCGGCTTGAGATGTGGGCAGGGGCGGGAGGAGAGTCTTGCGGGGTGCAGGTCCTTCGCCCACCGCTCGCCTGTGCACTGCTGGGCTGGAGGCCAGGCCTGAGAAGGCCGTGTGCGCTTTTTCCGACATCGCGTATCTGTCGTTTCCTCGGTTTCAGGGTCCCCCGTGGAAAGTCCAGTTAAGATCTTGGGAGAATCTGGGCTCTGTCTGTTGTCCTCAGTGGAGCAACTGAGCGATGAGTGCAGTTGAATGAAAGGCAAGACAAATCCATTGCCTAGGTTAAGTTAATTAGAATTGGAGTCATTTTCCTTGTGTAAAAGGAAAAGCATGTCCTGATGGTCTTTATTTAAAAAAAATAGAAAAATGCTGTATCGAATGAAATAAAATCGGAGCTTGCCTTTTACTGGAGCTTGAAGAGAGGCCTGGGTGGTTATCTCGGAATGTTCTGTGTCTCTCTTATGACAGTTTTCACTTCCTGCCAAGTTATTTATAACCAGGTTTAGATATTTAGTTTGTGCTTCTACATTGTATTGTCCTGTACCTAGATCTGTGGAAAACTTGTAGCAGTTAGTGCATAGTAGGTGCAGTTAGTGCATAGTAGGTGCTCAATAAGTGATGTAAGTACATGGCTGGCTGGGTGGCTGGCTGGCTGGATGGATGGAGGAAGGGGTGAATGGACGGATGACCCTGGTTAGTCTGGTTGGAAAAATTTAAATTATGGATCAATGTGGGAAGGGAGGAAGGGAACTGACATTCATCGCGTGTGGTAGACACCATGTCTGGCACTTTATAAACGTCGCATCCGTTCATCTTCACACTGTGCAGTCAGGTGGGTTTGCTTTCCCCTTTCAATATGTTGCAACTGATTCTTAGGAAAGCTACGAATGGGACTAATGCCTAATGGGACCCTCGTCTGCAGGTCAGTGCGAATGAAGGCACTCACCATGCTCCAAAGGTCAATCCAATGCCAAGCAGACACCAAAGCATTGTTTTCCTGATGCTATTTACGCAGAAGCATTGACACAGAAAGTGTGTGGATGCAGGAATACAGTGGCCTGGCTCAGCCATGTCTGAGGGGCGCAGAGGAGGCTGAGAGGCAACTGGCCTGGGGCCCCTGTTCCCTTCCTTGGTCTGAGTGGCGCCTGAGGACAGGTGTAGCTGAGCCCTCGGCAGTGCCGTCCTGTGTGCCTCGTCTGCCCTTCTCCAGACTCCAGCCCTCTCGTGGGAGCTGAGAGCAGGTGTCAGCCGGGTGGGCTGGCCTCGGTGGGGACAGAGGGACCACGCTGCTGAAGCTGGGGCTGCCGAGGAGCCAGTCTGCCAGGCCTGGCTTCACGCGGACATCACCATGAGGGGACAGCTGTGGGGTGCTGGTGGGCACAGGAGTTCGGGAGCCAAGTGTGGACTGGGTTCTGGAGACTGAATCCTTGGTGTGACTCCTCTCTCACAGAAGCCCTGTCCAGGTGACTTGCAAAGTGAGGTGCTCGTCAGCAGGCACCACCCTGATGGAATAAGCCACCATCCCTGCTCTGTCCTCTCTGAGGCTGGGCTGCTGACAAACCACAAAGGCCTGTGGCCTGAGTCCACACCATGCTTACCTTTAGCCCTGTCACCAAATGCTCTCTTACCAGCCATTTGCAGTACAGGGTAAGTGGAGACTGCAGAGTGTCTTTCCCTGGTCATTTATACTGTGAGTCATACCATGGGGGGAATGTTTCTCTTAGCAAAACAAACCAACCAAGAACCACAGAAAATAAAACAAAGCTCAGTAACCCTCTCATTTCTGTTTGTATGGCATCCAATCATTGATGTGATCCGTTTGCATACGTCATCTTTTGGGGATGGGTGAGCACAGCCCTGTTATACTTATATCCCCATGGTGGTAAAGGGTCTGCCAGCCCCAGGCAGTATTAAAATATATTTGTTCAAGGACCTTCTGGATCTTCTGGGGTTTGGAGTGGCTTCTTGAGTCCTAGAACACAGAGCTTACCTCTTCCTGCCTCTAGGAAGTCAAAGAGGTGGAGAGGAAATGTCCTGTGAGGCTTTAGGCTCGAGGCACTCGCACCAGACCTTGGACTTCTGTGGGGAAACTGCTGCTGGTCTGGCTGGTGGATGGCACTGTGACCTTCTCCTTGCTGAAACTTGTTTGCATCCCTCTTCAGAGTCAAACAAAGCCCCAGTGTTTGTGTCCCTCTGACATCGTATTACAAAGTAGCAGCCCCAGGAAGTTTTGCTTGGTGTTTGAGTCCTGTACAGTTCTTGGACCTGTGCCTTTAATATAACTGTTTGTATATCTGGGAAACTGTATTTGGACCAGTACTCTCATGTGTGCAAGTCCAAGTATTCCAAAGAACTCTATCTAGGGCTGGGGATTCAGCTCAGTGGTTCTGCTGCCTTCCTCAGAAGCACAAGGTCCCAAGTTCGATCCCCGGTACCACACACACACGACACACACAACTCTACCTAAACCTTGAGACCTGGGGCAGCTGGTTGTGAGGACTCCCACTTCCTCCAGAGATGTGTGCAGAGCGTGGACTGTGGTGGTCAGAGTGAGGGGTCCACTGGGGCTTGGGGTCTGCCCCACGTTTGGTGGAGCATAATTCTGGGTGCATCCAGGTGGGCTGTGGAGGTGTGATTGGCTTCTGTGTCTGCTCCCTCACCCCTCCCTGTCTGTCACTGTTCCCCTGCCCTGCTTCCCAGTGCCATGAACTGAGCCGCTTTGCTCCACCGAGCCCTGCCTTGAAGCCAGCTGACCATGGACTAAGCCCTCTTAAAGCCTGAACCAAAACAAAAACCCCCTCTCCTCCTTTAAATTGTGACTGTCTGGTAGTATGTCATAGTGATGGGAAAGCTGACTAGTCCATGGACCTCGCCCACAGCCTTTACAGTCTCGGAAAGCCATCCACTCTCCCTGTGGAGGTGGGAGATGGTGGATGCCCCATGGTGAACAGCAGTGGGTGGGGCAGCTTCCCTTAGGGATGGGGAGAAGAGGCCAGTTGAATGGGCATGGTGCTGGGCAGGGCCATCTGCTTCAGCTCCTCCCACACCCAAAGCTGCTGTGGAGAACAAGCTTTCTGTTCTTAAACTCACTGTAGATGAGCTCAGTGTCATAGAATTTTCTGTTCTATGTCTGTGTTAATATGGCGGCTGTGAGCCACATGTGGCTGTTAATCTCTGAAATGTGAGTAGTGTGAGTGAAGAACAGGAAGTTCCTTTGTGCTTCATTTAAATTCACATAGCTGTGTGTGGCTACCCTGGTGGCACAAATCTAGTGAACAGTGCTCTACCTGCCCTCCAGGAAACAGGAACAAATGTGGAAGGAGCTGGGGCTTGCAGAGCTTCTCACAGGGCAGGGATGCATGTTGAAGACACAGCCTCAGCAGCAAGCTGGCCCATCCTGGGTGGGGATGTTTCCTCCCATCCTGTGTCCAGGTGACTGGACCTGCTCCATCTGCCTCTGGGGAAAGTATTGGAGCCAACTGTCCACCCTGAGCAAGGTGCTTGGCAAATGTTTGCTGGGTGCAGCTCTTGATAGAAATCCCCACGGAACACTTCTTTGTTGTTTGCTTTTTGGTGGGGCTAGGAATCGAATCCAGGGCCTCAAGCTTTCTGGCCAAGCATTGCAGCACCGAGCTCCATCTCCAGTTTGTGGGACTCTTACATCTTTTACCCTCTTCTCTTTCTCTCAGAACGATGGGCCCAAAGGTCAGCCCCATTATGCTGCCAAGGGAAGGAACCTGAGCGAGGGGAGAGATCTGCTCACTGTCAGCCAAAGAGCTGCAACCAGGGCAGAGCTTTTCTTCAGTGATTCTTAAACATCCCTTCTGTGACCATTGCTCTCAGAATGGAGTAGAAGCCTCTCAAAAGTGGACTAGCATGGAGCACAAGTGAGGTGTGCCTGTAGTCCTAGCCACTCAGGAGGCTGAGGCAGGAGATTCACTTCAATCCAGCAGTTGAAGACCAGCCTGGGTAACAACATATGAAGACCCCATTTCAAAATGAAAACAAAAGCAAAAAACAAAGGACTAGGAATATAGCTTTTCTTAGCCCAGACTCAAGTTCTTCTAATAGAAGGCATTTTCTGGGAAATTCATGATGATCAAGGTGTCCTAATTGAAGTGTGTCATTTTATACCTATAGCCTCCAAACTTGCTCTGTGCTTGCTGAGGCTAAAAGTCTGCAAACTACATTTCCCACAGTTCCTTGCCAGTTTCATGTAAGTTTGCCAGTGGGAGCCAGAGAAGGGGAAGAGACTCAATTCTTTTTTCCAGCTGAGCTCTGAGTCACTCTGGAAACAATAGGCAGCTCTGACACCAGGTCTCCTGTGAGCCCTCTGAGGTATCACTGCAGTCCCCTGTGTAGCCTGAAGAGGAACTGATGCCCCCCTTCTTAGGAGTACTAACCCCACCTGGTCCATGGCTGCCTTGAGGGAAAACTGTTTTCAGGTCCCCGTGTTACTATAGCAGGCCATTTGACACAGCACAGCCACTGGGAAGGGAGAACAGGTGACGTGTAGAATTCTGGAGTCATTCCCTTGGAAGGACGGGATGTAGCCAATCTTCCCTTTTCCATTCCTTTGCCTAAATGTGGATGCTGATGGTGCAGTCTCTTGGGCCATGGACACTGGCAACACCATGAGGGCTGCTGGGGCCATAAAAGACAAGTGGCCAGGTACCTGCTGGGTCTCCATCAGCACAGCCGAGTCTGTATCCTAAGGAACATCCTTAAGGGGTGCAAGGCAGTCCTATTCCAAAGGAGCCTACACGTCACTGCAGCTTTCTTGCTGAGACCACTGATATCCTCTCTGCCCCTAAATCCAGGGTGCTCTGTCAGTCCCTGTTTTACTCTTTCCCAGTGGCACTTGTAATTCACCTCTCAGAACCCTGCTGGCCCTGGGCCCTTGGCATTCCATATTGTTTTCTCCTACATCCCTGGCTCTCCTTCCCTAGTCTATTTTTAGCTTTTTCTTCTTCTGCCCGTCCTCTAAGTGCTGTTTACGATCCTCTTTTTATCTTTCTGTATCTTAGCCTGGGTGAGAACTTCAGGAAGGCTGGTCTAGCCTAGATCATTGCTCTGAGCTCTGGACTCATAAGACCACTGCTGAGTGGAAACCTCCCTGGACACTGCTCAGGGCCCTCAAACCATCTTCTCCTTGCTGAACTCTTCTCTCCTATCCAAGCCTGTTGCTCCTCCTGGGTGCCCAGGCTCAGTGGAGGCCTAACTGTCCTCCACCCCAGGGGTCCAGCCTGAAACCACTGAGCTAAGTCCCCAGCCTGGCCCTAGTGCTTGTGAGGCAGGCAACATCACCACTGAGCTAAATCCCCAGCCCATCTTTTTTTTTTTTTTTTTTGAGACAGGGTCTCAGTACATAGCTCAGGCTGGCCTAAACCTGCAGTTCTCCTGCCTCAGCCTCCCAGGGGCTGGGATTACAGGTGTGTGCACCATACCCAGATACAGTACTTTGTTGCAAGTTCAAGACCATGGCTGCACATTAGACTCACTAGGGCAACCTCAAAAATAATAATAATGCTAATAAATATCCTAATAATAACAATAATAATAATAAAATATCCCAGTGCTGTCTCATTTATCCTACACCCATGGAATCAGAATCTCTGGATAGGGTCTGGGTATTTCGTCTTGTTTTTTTTTTTTTTTTTTTTTTTTTTTTTTTTGTACTAGGGATCGAACTCAGGTCCTTGTGAGGCAGGCAGCGGAACCACTGAGCTAAATCCCCGGCCTAGGTGTTGTGTCCTTTAAAGAGAGTCAAGTGCACAGCCAGGCGGGAGCCTGCAACCATGGTTCGGCCAGGGTGCCCCGGGGCTCTGGTGGAGTCACTGTGGCTCTGTAGGGGAGCCCCATGGTCACCACCAGTCTCCAGGCATTGCAGAGAGGAGATGGGAGCAGGATGGAGGAAGGAGGCAGTGTTCTGACAGAAATCAAACAGTGCAAGAGGTGGCAGGCTGCGTTTTATTCATCGTTAATTGAAACACCCTTCCAGTCCTCTCTTGAAGTGTTATCCAGAAAAAGAAATGTGTCTGCCATTCAAGAATCCCGAAGGCTTGCTGAGTGCTCCAAGCCCCTTATGAGGGGGAAGAGCATAGACATGGAGTTGGAAAGCCAGGTTCAGCTTCCATAGGGAGGAGGGCTCCAGCCAGGTCAGTGCAGAACCTCATGGCTATTCCACGATGCAGTTGCTCCAGGGGCCTGAGGGTGACAGCTGCTCTGGGCCCAAGAGTCCAGGCCCAAGTCCAAGCTGCTGAGCCTTCCAGGAGCTCAGAAGTGGCCTCAGCAGAGCTCCACCCTGTCCCACCCAGCACGAGGAGCCCTCACTCAGGTCATAGCTATGCTACACAACCACCACTTCGACAGATGACAACGCCCCAGCACCTCTTCTGGACCCAGAAGGGCCCAAGGTGCTGTCCAGACATGTTTTTCAGACAGTAATATAGAATTGTGCTTTTTGTGGTTTAAGAGTAAAAAGTTACAGTAAGACAGAACCCCCTGGCCCAAAGCTCCTGTGGCAACCAGCTCAGGGGGCTGCATGGTGCCTCAGCTCCCTAGAAGCTTCTTTGAAGTTGCCTGCAGGAAGAGGGGTTTTCTGGGGGCCTGTCTGAGGGACAGACTCCTGGGACCACAGAGCAGTGGTTTTTCAGGGCTGGGGTTGGGTACAGCTGCTGGCTTCTGGGTAAAACACAAACTTCATGTACACATGAAGCTGCCAAAAGGCCCTCACAAGACTCTGGAGAGTTAAACATGAGAAACCTTTCTTGTTTTTTTGTGGCACTGGGGATTGAACCTAGGGGCACTGTGCCACTGAGCCACATCCTTAGCCCTTTTTGTTTTTTATTTTGAGACAGAGTCTTGAAAAGTTGCCCAGACTGGCTTTCAACCTGTGATCCTCCTGTCTCAGCCTCCCAAATAGTTGGGTTTATAGGCATGCACCACTACCCTAGGCTGAAATCTTTCTTCTTAAAGTGGCCCAGACTGGGATTTTCTATGGGGAAGAGGTCTAGGAGCTCATTGTAAGGCTGCTGTGCAAATCCCAGGCTGTCTGATGCTTTCCACCAGTGAGACTTTCCACCTGAGACTTCCTGAGTCTTTGGACTCCTTCTCCAGGCCTGGGGCCTTACACTTTACTCAGAAGATGAAGGGGCCTGACCCTTTATCTGCCTGGTACCAGCACTCTGGTTTCTATGTGGTCACAGTTGGGTGGCAAGAGTGTGTTAGTCAGGCCACCTTTATGACGGCCCTCAGCCCAGCATGCAGCAGGAAGGGTGCCTAAGGTGAGGAAAAAGCTCCTGGCACATAAGCCAGTTGTGGACTGCAGTGAGCTATCAGCTGTGGGTCAGTGAGAGACCCCATGGTGGTGGGGGAGGCCTTGGCTTCTGGGGAAATGGAGGCCTTCTTAGCCCAAGGTTCGGAAGGACCTGTATAGAATAAAAGGGTCCCTATCCACGTCATTATTCTCCAGCTGATGGGAGGGCCCCATCCGTTCTTCTCCATACTCTCAAGCAGGAGACAAACTACATGTCCCGTAAGGGTCCTATATCCCCTGACCCCGGGAGCCCCAGCTCTTCAAGGAAGCAGCCCCTGGTCCACACTGCACCCCAGGCCTGCTGGAAGAATGATGGTGTGCTGTACTAGGCAGTGCCACTGAGATTGGTGGGGTGGGAACCAGGGGATGTGGGCAGAAATGCTCATGTGTCCCCAGATCCTGAGTACCATGCTATCATGCTATGGTTTCTTCAGAAGCCTGCTCAAATTGCCCCTAAAGCCAGAGCACAGGAAAGGAAGAAAAAACCAGCTAAGCTTGCAGTACAAGCAACTTTGGGTAGACAGAGGAGATAGCTAAGGAATGCTTTGCCTTTCTCTGGAGGCAGATACTGGTCTCTCCCATGGAAACAGCCTTCCATGCATGCTGGCTGCTCGCTTGGCAACATGGATGCCTCATTACGCCTGTCTAGCTGTGGAGTCTTGGAGCTCCGCCTCGGGCCCAGAGTGCAGTTGTCTTCTCCCTTCTTCTGGGTAGGCTATTTTGCCTGTGGACTAAGTCCTTACAGTCCTTTACCACTAGGATCTCTACTTCCCTTTGGAATGACTCAGATCCCCAAGTAATTTACTGTTGCCTAGATGACGTCTCAAATTGTGTTTTGTTTTGTTTTTTAATCTCTAATTGGATGACTTTTAGTGGTTCCTTCTTTTAAAGGGATAGATCTGGAATTTTATTTCCAGGTCCTGCCATAGGCCCTGCAGCAGAGATATGTGCTCCCTCAGTGTGTTCCTTTTCTGTGACTGTCCTAGAGGTGGGCTCTCCCAGGAGCCTAATGACCCCTCTCCTGCCCACCCCTCACTGGCTTGACCCCAGATTGGGGTGTGTGTTTCAAATTCCAACCCCATTAAATTACCCGCAAGTAGCTTGAGAGTGCTTGAGACTCCGGCTCATTTTCCTGCTGTAAACTGCAGAGGAAAGAGAAGCCTGGCATTCAGGCATGACTGTTTCCGCTGTTTGCATGTGAGTGTGCACATGTGAGTGCTTGTGCATATGTGTTTGTGTTACAGGCACAGTGCCAGGCAGGGAGAGGTCACGGCATTGCTAGAGATGGTGGCAAGGTGGTGCCTTTCTAAGACTTCCTGTCAGACATGGTCCCGTATGGTCCTTAGGGTCAACATTTCTTTAGGTAAGAAACAAAGGCAGAGAAGTGTTCCTTCACCACCCATTCCCCATCTCTAGACCCATGAGTTACAGAGTCCAGGAGAATCAGTCCTTCAGCCTAAGGATCATACACAGCATGACTGTAACCCTCAAGTTCCTTCCAGGGCTCCTGTCAGCTCCCTCTTCCTCCCTCCCTCCCTCCCTCCACCTCCACTAGACTGTGCACACAAGAAATACATTCCTTGATTCTGTCCTTCACACCTTCTATGGCCCCTGGAGCCAAATGCCCTGATATTTGTAGATGGCTGCTTTGGGTTCCTGGTGTAACTGGCAGTTCCCTGACTCATGGGGGCGAGGAGGTGTGGTCTGTGCTCTTTAAAAAGGAAAAAAAAAGTTGAACTGATCAGTGGTAGTTAAGAAAGAAAGGAAGGAAGGAAAGAAGGAAGGAAGGAAAAAAAATCCTCTTGTTTGAGGTGTGTCACATAGTCCATTAATAATGGACTGCATTCCTGTGTGTGGATGAAGCTTGCAAGTGTGAGGAGCGGGTTCCAGATGAAGCTGAGCACCGCCCTCCGGAGCTAGTCGCTGCCCTGTGAGCTGAGCCGATTGGACTACCTCCAGGCTGGGAAAGGCCAGCTAAGCCCCTTACCATTTGCAATTTCCAAATGTGGGGGAAATGCCACAGTCCGCAAGTGGGTGCTATGCCTCATCTCCTTGCATAATACTACAGCTTTCTCTGTGTGTAGTGGCTGTTCTATATATATACACACGGGAGGCAACATATGGCTGTCCCCACCCCCACCTGTCAAAACTGTGACTATCTCACTTCTGACGACCAGAAGGAAGCTGCTAGGCAGGACCAGGATTCTAAATGCTGCGGAGGTAATTCGGAGCCATGAAAAGATGCACCATATGCTTTGAGGTTGCCAGCTGCTTATGAGCATGAGAAAGGGTCTGGTGCCAGTCTGCAGAGCCCGGGAATGGCGCTCTCCTTGCTGTGGCTTGCACCGGATGGGGGCCTGGGGTACCACTTTTTCTCCCTGGAGAACCTGCTGGGAACCGCGGTTCTCCAAGAAGGGACTCACAAGGAGCACAGGCTCCCCTAAAACCTGCCCTTCATCAGGCCTGGCCAAATAGCATATCTTTAAAAAACTCCTCTTTTTTGGTTTAGTTTTATTGGATAAAGATTAAGAAAGCGCCAGCTCTGAGAGCGCTCTACCTGGCGGCGCTGGTCTCCGCCAGCCGGTTGTTCATGATGCCCAGCG